TTATTATTATTATTATTAAGAGACTGGACAGCCATTTGTCCGAAATGGTATAGGGTTTCCTGCCTGAGCAGGAGGTTGGACTCGATGACCTCCAAGGTCCCTCCCAACTTTATTATTATTATTATTATTATTATTATTATTATTATTATTATTATTATTATTATTATTATTATTATTATTAAGAGACTGGACAGCCATTTGTCCGAAATGGTATAGGGTTTCCTGCCTGAGCAGGAGGTTGGACTAGATGACCTCCAAGGTCCCTCCCAACTTTATCATTATCATTATTATTATTATTATTATTATTATTATTATTATTATTATTATTATTATTATTATTATTATTAAGAGACTGGATAGCCATTTGTCCGAAATGGTATAGGGTCTCCTGCCTGAGCAGGAGGTTGGACTAGATGACCTCCAAGGTCCCTTCCAACTTTATCATCATTATTATTATTATTATAATTCCCCTGCTTGCCTCCCTCCCTTCCTCCGTCCTTTCCTCCCTCCCTCCCTTCCAGCCTCCCCCTCCTTTTTCCTTTCCTCCCTCCCTCAACGACCACAATTGAGCCCCAAATTTACGTTGCTAAGCGAGACGGTCGTTTAGTGAGTTTTGCCCCCATTTTACGACCTTTCCTGCCGCAGTTGCTAAGGGAATCACTGCAGCTAAATTAATCGGGCTTCCTCCATTGGCTTTGCTTGTCAGCAAGGGGGTGGGGGGCAGCACGTGACCCCGGGACGCTGCAGCCGTCATAACGATGAGTCTGAATTTTGGATCACGTGACCACGGGGGAGGCAGTGACGGCCGTAACTGTGAAAAAAAACGGTCTTAAGTCACTTTTTTCAGTGCCGCGGTAACTTCAAACGGTCACGAAACGAACTGCTGTCAGTCGAGGATTACTTGCACATTGCAGCAAAAAAAAAATTGTGTGTGGGGGGGTGAGGTCTCGATGTGGACTAGTAACCCAGTGGATAGATAAATTATAAATAAACCAATGTTCAAAATTAATGACAGAGCTGAAAGTCACTTCCAAAAAGATCTTGACAGCCCTGAACAATGGCCCCTCTCCAGCAACATGAAATTTAATGTGGAGAAAAGCAAGGTTTTACACCTGGGAAAGGAAAAACCAAAGGCACGAGTACGGATTAGGTGAGACCTGGCTCAAAAACAGCAACTGTTGAGATGGACCTTGGAGTCCTAGTGGACGATCCCTTAAACATGAGCCAGCCGTGTGCGGCAGCAGCCCAAAAAGCTAACGCAATCCTGGGTTGCATAAACAGAGGCACAGAATCAAGATCACGCGAAGTCTTAGTACCGCTTTAGAAAGCCTTAGTAAGGCCACACCTGGAATACTGCAGCCAATTTTGGTCACCATATCACAAAAAAAAAGATGTTGAGACTTTGGACAAAGTGCAGAGAAGAGCAACTAAGATGATCCAAGGCCTGGAGACTAAAACGTACGAAGAACGGCTGCAGAAATTGGATATGGCCAGTCTGGAGAAAAGAAGGACGGGGGGGGGGGAGGACATGATAGCAGAGTTCCAGTATTTGAGGGGCTGCCCCAAAGAAGACGGGGCCCACCTAGAACTAAGGAGAAACTTCCTGACAGTGAGAACAATTAACCAGTGGAACAACCTGCCTCCAGAAGCGGTGAATGCTCCAACACTGGAAGTTTTTAAGAAGAGACTGGATGGCCATTTGTCTGAAATGGTATAGGGTTTCCTGCCTGAGCAGGGGGTTGGACTAGATGACCTCCAAGGTCCCTTCCAACTTATCATCATCATCATCATCATCATCATCATCATCATCATCATCATCATTATTATTATTTTCCAAAGCACCAGAAGGAAAGACAAGAAAAAAACGGATAAACAAAACTTAAGCCAGGAGAGAAGCAACCTGGAATTAAGGATTAATTTTCCGACAGTGAGGACAATTAATCAACTTGCCTTCAAAGGTTGTGGCTGCTGGATCCCAGGTGCAACCCCACTCCAACTGCGGAAGCCCCAAATCTGCTTTTTTTAATTGAACAACAAGAGTTGGCAGGAAACCCTGGCCTGTGCCATTTCAGACAAATGGTGGTCCAGTCTCTTCTTAAAGACAAAGATGATCAGGGAACTGGAGGCTGAAACATACAAGGAATGGTTGCTAGAATTGGGGATGTCTAGTTTAAGGAAGAGAAGGACGAGGGGGGACAGGATAGCAAGTCTTCCAATATCTCAGGGGCTGCCCCAAAGAAGAGGGAGTCAAGATATTCTCCAAGGTGCCTGAAGGCAGGACAAGAAGCAACAGATGGAAACTCATCAAGGAGAGAAGCAACCTGGAACTAAGGAGAAACTTCCCGATAGTGAGAACAATTAACCAGTGGAACCACCTGCCTCCAGAAGCGGTGAATGCTCCAACAGTGGAGGTTTTTAAGAAGAGACTGGACAGCCGTTTGTCCGAATGGCATGGG